TGTATATACACATACATATATACATATATACGTATGTAAAAACTGATATACATATACACACATCAATTTAAGTATAAATGAATTACGAATATAAAAAAGAGTGGAGTAAAAAACTGAATAAAAGATTAGAATCCGACATATACTGAAAACTCTTTTTAAATTTACATTTGAGATCTATATTCTAATATGTACACTAAAGAACTATCATCAAGCTAATCATAAAACACTGTAACCGTACACTATGTTCACTAATATATGTACTTAAATCTAATCGACGAAGTGATCGTCGTCAAAAGTGATGAAAAGTCAGTTGATTGTAAATCTTTCGTCATTTTAGTTTACGTTATATTGATCTAACGTAACCACAACTATTCTGTTGTGGTATTCTTTTTTCAACAGTTATGTCTTTTTTGCAGATAAGTTCTGAGGTTATGTAACTAAAAAAGAAAGGTCCTATATTATTTGACACTTCGTATTTCCTGCAATCGTTTTCTGTAACACATATTATTTCATTTTATTTTATGATATAAATAACTAAGTTTTTTATCTTTTTTGAACAGACTGTAAAATTAAATATTATGTAAAGATAGTACCATTTTGTATATGACAATGAAGTAAATGTATGTTACAATTTATTATCTTATTTGATTCACGTCCTCTTTTCCAACAATACAATATCCTGTGTGTTAATCGTCATTGTTCTAAACTGATTCTTCTCAAACCTTATATTAAATTCACAAATAAATAAATCGCGGATTAGATATGCGCTCGTTACTACGTACAGAATACTCCAAACATAACAGTAACGGCTTAAATGATTACATATGATTACATATGAGTGATTATTATAAATTATGTCTAAGACAAAACTTTTATGCACATGCGCTTAATACTTTTTCTAAAACTAGTTAAAATCCTCTTACCGGGCAGAAGAGTACTAAATGTTTAATTTTAGACACTTGGGAATATGAATTCTTAATTCGTCTAACGTGTTAAAACGTCGTGAACAGAAGACACATTTAAAGCGAGGAGACTTTACCTTTGAATAACAAAAGAACTATTAATATACAACTCTACTAAAGCAGACGATCGAATGCAGCGACGACAAATAACTTTCGCACAGCGACTCTTCTACTAGATCGTAGTTTTGTCGAATTCTAATAAAGTTTGAAAACTTACCCACTTTTTCGGCGGAGGAGATTCCTAAAAAACATTTTACAAATATTAGTATACTACAGTAGCTGACTATCATATTCGTTATAGTGACAAAACATGGTAGAGCAATCTATCCATCAGATTGCACATCGTTTTTTCTATTATTTCTAAAAATCTTAGTTACCAGACTAGAGTCAGAAGTTAAAGAAGTCTTTAATGGTCGTTTTCTATTAAATTTCTTTACAGAGCAGTCTTTTGACGTCGATGGAGGCATCTAAAAAGTATTATACAACGTCCCGCAAAAGCCAAGTAAGAAAATGATTGCGGCTCACATCTTTATTACATCAGGGTATATTATTTCTTTTTTTTTTTTTCAAATAACTTACCGCAGAACATATGGCGCGACCTAAATCAACAGGATTGATCAAGTTTGTTTGTCCAGTGCAGTCATCTTTGGACGTCAATGTATGAGAAGTATGCACCTAAAAGTATCACATGATATTTCGCAAAAGCCGAGTAAGAAATCCGGTAAAACAACGAAAAATGATTACAACTCATCTTAAGTACATCACTCTCCGTTAATTCTAATTTTTTCAAAAAAATATACATTGGCACAATCTATCGCGTGACATAAATGAACAGGATTACTCACGTCTTCTTCATCAGATTTCGATACATAGCTTTTTGAGCTCCTGTCACTTGACACTGGCAAAAAAAGAAGATGTCTATAAAATAATATACATAACTATAATGCAAAAAAAAAGTTTATCTTTGCAAACTTACACCACTTTTCAAGGTTTAAGTTCATTTGTTTCTATGTCCCATGATGTTCAATGATGGATAAAGTGACGTATTTAAAAAAAAAAAAAAACAAATATACATATCTGGTATAATGCACAATACTCTGCTATGAAGTACGATATTGTGATAAAAAAAAAAAAAAAAAACAGTTTTGTCTGTGAAAATTATCTATCAAAACACTCTCGCTTCTCTCATCGCATATTATTTTACAAATATACAAAACTCACCAATAAATTGTTCACTTTTCTAATTTTACACGTACGCCTGTGAGCAAAGAGGTCTTCTCGCGTTATAAAGATCATCTTACAATTTCCACAGCGTTTCGACTTTAAAGAGACCTAACAAACTTTACTTATGAACATTTCACAAAAGCTAATAAACAGTTAAAGCGATTCTCATCGATCTTGGCAGAACACATCTGGTACCAGATCAAGTTTGAATCAACTTTTAATTGTTTCGAAAAGCTTACCGCTTTGTCAGAGATTTTAAGAGTTCTAGTGAGTTCCTGGAGCTGAGGTACCTGTGATGAATAAAAAAATATGTATGTTTCAAGAAGAAGATACAACATATTACTATATTCTGCACAATCCGACTAAGAAGTACGTAATGGAAAAAAATTTTTGCAATGCAACTTCTGTATCAGAATAGTTTTTTTCGTTAAATAATTTTAAATTAAGCATGTACCAACGTTGCTGTGAGTTTCTTCATTTCGCACGTTTTTTCATGCATGGCAAGTTCTTCTGCAGTCACAAAATCCGCACTACAGAATTCACAAATATATGAGTCCAAATCCATTGGTTCCTACAAGTAATTAAATGAATTTTAAACGACAAAAAATGATTTTAGTAAAGAGACATCTCTATCAAATTAGGTTTCCATCGAGTTTTATTATTTTCGAAAACTTACCGACAGCGGCGGTTGTGTGTTGTTGTCGCACATTTCAATATGAACATTGAGTTCTTGCTCCGTAGTAAAAGTCAGAGAACAATAGGTACACGAAAACATCGTTGCAGAAACAGGTAACAAAAGTACACAACTACACTGAACGAAAGCTGGCTATCGAATGCGTTGAAGTGATCAAGGTGATCGAAAATGATTTTGACAACATCCCCTTCTTATTTCTTTTGTTATTTTTGAATCAGAAATATCCAATAGAAATCACGATATTGATTTACATGCTTATTTTGTTTGCTGATCTGAGATGTTTTGCAACGCGATACCTATAGAACCAAAAACTTTGAGGACACTGAGCGGTCAATACAACTGTTGTTATTACTAGCAGGAAGAAGACTGAAAGCAGCTCATAAGAGAATGTAGAATTGCCTCATAGTGTGAGTATACAGGTTTTGGAGCACAAGTTCGTTCGGTTCTGCGCAGCTCCAAAGAACGCCTTTATTTTTAAACATCAATACATGATAATCGATATAATATTGATATAATCGTCAGACATCAGTCTAAGATTACACCATGATTACTTACACTATAAAATTGCTTTTCCGTTTTGTAAGCTAGCGTGATGTCCACAGTGATGCAAAGTGGCAACTACGTAGCCATGGTTCTATTCCGTGCTTTGTACACGAGACCAAGTCGTCACTCCTGTATAATTACAGAAGTGTCACATACGGAATTTTCAGTTTATTGCATAGTGACACTTAGTCATATTCGTTAAAACGCGATAACTATGTAACCAAACACTCTAAGGATATAAAGTCAAAACAGCACTTGTTATAACAAATACTATGATAAATTCAGAAAAGTGCACCAGTAGCCAAATTGTGTATTCTAATTTCTGCTTTATATTTTATTGTCACGCGACTCTAGAATCGCAGTGCAATACAGATGCAAAAGTCAAAAACAATCAAAGCGAATACTCACACTACACTTTATACTGAATTGAATGTCTGGAAAGTATACAAATTCGCGCAATCATGTAATTTCTCGATCGATTATTCGTCGATGCCGTGAAGTAAAATCAAGCCGACGTACAAATATTCTTATTTGCTATCTTTTATTTGCAAATAATCATAATCTTGATAAAGCCATCAGATGTTTTTCAGAATTTCACGCGTCGTTGTAGGATTGCACTCGTGATTACTTGAACATAATGCAAGCGTATAATAGCTCGAATAAATTTTTATTTCTATATTATATTTTTCAAAAGAAATAATTTATTTAAAGGAAATTTGGAATCTAATTGTTTACAATTGATGTAACAAGAGACGTCACACACATATCTGTAAATTTATGTGAGAGGATTTACAAATTTCCATACATATGTGGCAAATATTAATATATAATGTTCATTTTTATTAAATTCGTAATATAGTTGCATTTGTTTAATACACAGAGTGTTTCGTAGTAGCTGCATCTTCTCTCATAAGCAAGTAGAGCAGATTACATTGAATTAAAAAGGTATTTACTAGTTTGCAAGATTTTCAATGCTTGATGTTTTTATTATTAGTATATATAACATTGTAATACATACACATAAATGTGTATTAAAAAGAAACCAATATATATAATGTTATTATAATAAGAAGTAAGAATTTAATGTTAACTACTTATAAAAAGTAGTATGATATAGTAGTTNTGATCGCAAAACATTAAGTAGACGAGTTACAATGTTTAATAATATTTGTATCAATATCTCTGTTGCATATGTATGTATAACCAATATTACGTATTGAATGTTTTTTTCTTTAGTAATAGATGTAATATTGATATATAGATCTACTAGTTTTATTTGTTTTCACTTGACTGAAGTTAGAAAAGAAAGCTCTTTATGCAGTATATGAAAATTAGTAAGAATACAACTAAATCTAGTTACTTAAATTTAGTTAATTATATTACTATTGGTACCTGATGTATTTAGCAAAATATATACAATTGTAGAATATAATATT